CTTTCCTGTTTGATTGTTGTAATAATGTGCATATCTTTTATAAATCTCAGATGTCTCTTCTGTTAACTGGTAAGGAAAATGTTTGCCTCATGGGGTTTCGAGGAGGATCAGTAAAACTCTTAACATCCAATTCTCAGTAAAAACTCAATAAATGTTAGCTGTGATTGTTCTTATCATTAATGTTGTTGAAGAACAATTGGGGCGCATCCTAGTAAAAGAAACAGCTTGAAAAGAAAACTATTAGTGAGTTTTTGTAAATCTATGTTCTCTGTAAAATGTGTAGGGCCTTAAGAAAACTAACATAGTAATAGTGTTACTTCAAGAATTCCATCTTTTTTTCTTTTCTTCCCCTTTTTGGGATACATAATTATAATCATTACTTGCTCCAAATGTTCATTCATTTATTTAAAAAATATTTACTGTGAGCATTTTTTTGCCCCAAACACTGAGTTAAGTGATGACAATATAATGGGTAATACAAGCATAGCTGTCCTTATGGAGAGCACAGTAAAAAAAAAAAAAAAAAAAAAAAAACCACTAATAGAGGCTGTTACAAATGGTAATTGGATTTGACACTTTTTGTTACATGCAGTCCTGACCTCATGAGCTATCTCACACAAAGGTCTTGATGAATCCTTCTAGGATTATTTATGAGTAATGAAAAGCTCTTAAAAAGGGTAAAGCTTAATCTCAATAAATGAGCCTCTAGTGACAGAAGTTGAGTTAATGTGGCACCAAGAATAAGAAATATTTAAATAAAAGATTCCTCCAAGAACCTCTCAAATCCTACCACGTTGTTAACTCTTCTTTTGCCCAGAAGTAAGGCTTTGGTATTCTTTGCACATAGTCTCTCTTAAACAGTAAGAGGTGTTCTCAACCTCATGTCAATGTAACTTTCCTTTTTATTTTAACATTAGCTCAAGGCCACCTGAGATCACTTATATTTTTAAGACAAAAAGTTATTTTTTGTGGGAGCAAAGAAAGATCCAAAGTTATGGGAACAAGAGACTTTTTTATTCTGAGCTGACATTTAAGCATGCAAATGTGGAAAATGTATTTAAATTACAAAGTTGAATGTGATGATTCACATTAAGTGAAATTGAGATAATATCCTCACACCTCGCTGCACATCAAAATCACCAGGCAAAGTCTTGAAAAAATGCCAGTGTCCATGTCCACTTTACACCAATTAAATAAGTGTGCTTGGGGGTCTGAGTTTTGGGTATTTTTTCCATCTTTTTCTTTTCGGGACATTTCATTACATAGCCAGGGCTGAGAACTACTGAAGCACACGACAGTTCCGGGGCCTGGAAATGAACCTTGAAGGTCTGACCAGATTTTGATAGAGGGGCAGAGTAAAAATGACAGGCTGGCAAGGGTCTAGACTGAGGACAAATGATCAGACTGGAGAAGGAGCCCAGCTAGCTTGTGAAGAGTGAAGAGAAGGCCTGAACACCACTGACAGTACTGGAATTCTTCTACCACAAATGAAGCGCTCATTTACTTAAAGAAGGTTTCTTTTAGTTAATGAAACTGTTCAATAGTTTTTTTGTTTTTTTTGTTTTGTTTTGTTTTGTCTTGCTTTTTTGAAGGTGGAAGAAGAGTCAGTATCTTAGTTGAAAGTATTTTGAACTAAAGCATACTTTGGTACTTTATTTTGTACAATATTTGTGAAAGAATTTTTTTTGAGGGTCATACCTAAAAGAGAGAGGCACAGGGAAAATTAAATGATGAACAACACTTGGGGTCACAATTCACTGTCTCCAAAAGTTGTGGAAGTGGCACAAATGGAGACAAAATTATAGCCAATGGGAGAGCCTGTGGAGCTCCCCTCATTTAGGGCCCTTGTTATGGCTTTCATCTAGATGTCGCCCCAGAGCCTCATGCACTCATCATGGGGCTTTTTGGAAGTGGTTGGATACAGATCGTGTAAATATGGATTAAGGTTGTGTAATAACTAAATTAGTCCACCAATCAGTTTAGCATGATTTAGCACTAAATTTGTGTAGTGGATAATTAGTGGATAATGGGAAGACTCCACCTGGGTAGGGGTGGCGCTACCCAATAGGCTTGTAGCCTGAATGAGATAGTGGAGAGAGGGAAGCTTCACTGCCTCCTGCCTTCCCTGCCATGGACTGCTCTCCTCTGCCATGGCCCTCTGCCGTGCTGCTCTGCCTTAGCGCTGGCTGAATGTAAGCTGAAACCTCTACAAACTGTGAGCTAAAGTAAACCTCTCCTCCTTTTACTTGTGGGTGTCTGGTATGGGAAAGTAACTAAGACAGTGCTCATATTAGGAATTTTTTCTGGCCAAAGTGGAGAATTTCAATGACATTCTGTAAGCAAGTGATGTTACTTAGGAATTTCTCCCTCAAACACTATTTTAAGATATCAAGATTACAGTAATATTTTGTGAGTTCTATATGTATTATTTCAAAAACAGAAAAATGTTCACAAGGACTTAAATAGTTTTACTTATCATGTTAATACCCCTACCTAACTTTCCTATAGAATGGTGCATTTCCCAATGCTGAATTCTACCGAAGTGGAGTTTCTAGAAACCTAAATCAAGCAATTAGAAGTACCTATAGAGTTAGAAACAGTTCCAGGTAGGGGCTAGGGATTTAGCTCAGTGGTTCAGTGGCCTGCCTCGTAAGAGCAAGGACCCGAGTTCGATCCCCAGTACCAAAAAAAAAAAAAAAAGAAACAGTTTCAGGTAGTGCTAGAAAAGGCCTAACAACATTCAAGACCATATTCATGCATTCTAATTCTTTCCCAGTGCAGATTTTAAATAATGTCATATAACTATAAACGCATAGCTCAGCTAAAGTTACATTTTTTAAAAACTGAAAGTAGATATGTTAAACTCTGATAAAGTATTGCAAATAGAAAGAGTTAGAGAAATTGAATATACCAAAATTTCTCCCAGAATGAGTATTATTTGTAGCTAAAAGGAATAAGATTACAAGCTGCTTTGGGCTGGTTTGTGATGGTGAAACCATGCGAACTATGACTGAGAATAACAGATAGTATGGTCACTGGACTAACTTCTTTAGAAGGCAGAAGCTACATAAAATAATTTATTTTACTAGAAGAGTTCAAGCTGGACTAGATTGCTATTTTCAGGTTTCATTTTAGTTATCCTTCCCCTCACATCTCTTTTCTAAATAAATCTGAAACAAATCTATTTAAAGTACAGGTTTATAAAAGTGCCAAATACTGGCATCCCTGGGCTAGCCACATTATTATCTTTATCTGAATGTCAAACATTTTTCTTGAAGAGAATCAGTTGCTCCTGAATATTCTTTCATCCACTCACACCTGTATTTTGCCTCTTGTGGTGTACAGATTCCAAGGTGAGCCCTATTCCCATGTCTCCTAGTGGCAAAGAGAATTATGCAAAGGCACTTGCAATGTGTCCTCTTTTTGAACATGAGCAGGACCTATTACTTGCTTCTAAACATTTGGTAGGATATGGTGAAAATAATAGATATCACTCCATGGTATTTGCTTAAGGGTATTAATTACCAGTAGTTAGAGACACACCTTGTCAACTTGAAGTTAGCAGCCTTGCTAAGAAAGTGCATTTGGTGAAGAGCTTCCTAGAAGAGCTGATGGTGCCTCCAGGAGCTCGGATCTAAAGGGACAAGGGAACGAGTTCTGCAGATGTTTGGAGTGAGTTTGAAAGCATGTCATTTTCAGACAAGAATTCAGCCCAGGTGACTCTTTGACTTCAGCTTTGTTAAATATTAAGCACAGAACCAGATGAGAGGTGCCCAAACTCTTCTCTACTTAAAGTAGAAGCTAATAAACATGTTTGTTGTTTTAATCTACTAAATTTGTCATAATTTGTTACACAGAAATAGAAAAGTATTACACCATACAGAGGTACAAAGCAAAATGATGCTAAAGGTGAGTTCACCAGGCACTAAGTATATGTAATGATATTGTCTTATCTGTAGCATTTGTTCTTTGTTTGGGACTTCTGGATTTTAGTAAATCATTTACAGAGAGGATTTGGCCTATGTAGTTGTAACTGATTCACAAGACCCCTTCGCCCTGGTAAACGAGTGGGAATCATGCAGTTAAGGGGTACTTTTAAACATCTCTTAACATAGTTCATTAAAAAGAGTCAATGAATTTGTTGAGTTTTCATCAGCACAAGAAAGACTAGCTTTTACTGAATATTGGTTTTTATTATAGTTACTATAATCAACATGAGCAAAATTAAAAATTCCAATATTTGAGCTGGACTGGTACATGCTTTTGAAAACATTTTTTTTAGGGCAGACTGTTCTCCTGGGGGGAAAAGGCAAGTGAAAAAAAAGCTAATTAGTCAGGTTAAAACACTATTCATATCCATACTAATTAATCTTGTCTTGTTTCTATTACCTACTTTTAAATAAAGGATCAAGGGAATCTGTATTGTGGACTGTTTTAACTGATGGTACTCTTCCTTAGTCCATCTATATTAATTTCCTCTGTAGGAAGTAAATTTTGTTCTACTGGCAGTCAAAATTATCTTCATAAAGTTACTCTTGGTTACTAAAACTTATCTTTTTTTTGCAACATCGGAGCAGAGTGTCTAAATTCTGTCTTTCCCCTGGGTGAAAGATGAAGTTCCCTAATACATATCAAATATGAGTGGTTAAGAAAATTTTAGAAAACCCTCAAAGGCAAGAAGACGTGTTTTTTTTTTTTTAATCCAGCATTGTCTATGAAGCCCTTTAGGAGCATTAATTTTTGTTCTTTTCTACTTTCTGTAACAGCTGAGAATTGCACAGCATTTATAGCCAAAGAAGATTAAAGGTGTATTTTCAGTGATGACATAGCTGGCAACTTATGTTTGTGTATGGTTTAAAGAGGGGTCACATTAATGACTTTAAAAATTGTAAGGCTGAGATATTACATTATTTATTTGAAATGTAAAGAAGCAGGAAAAAAAAGAACGTGCAAAGCCAAGATGAGAGTGAGATTGTATACTTCTTTTTTTCAGGATATAATTGCCACTCATCTCATTTTATTAGAATCTCTACACATGTTGGGACCGAGTTCTTATCCATCCATTGTCCCTCCAGGAATACCAAGGAGGTAAAGATGCATCCGCTTATCTTGACATTACATCAGTTGTTTTCTTTCCCTAAGTAAAAGCACTAAGATTCGAACCTTGGAACATTATAATTGATTATGTGAGGAAGACATTAGAGCCCCCTGATTTTGCATGTCTTATCCAGTAAGAGAAAGGGCTGGCACATAAAAAAGGTACCCTATCATCTTTTGAGGTCTTAGTACAAGTTACTTTATTCCTATCATATTTAATGCCTCCAAGAAACCTTATGAATAAGAGAAACATGAGGCTCTGTGGAGTTTAAGATACTTGCTTATAGCTGCACAATTAATAAATGATGTTTGAGAAACCTATACATTAAGTTTCAAAGCCCATTAACTAAACAATTTCTAGAGTTCCTCTCTCTTTACTCTCAGTCATAGCTCCATTTTCTGTGATTGAACCCAGGGCCTTGCACTGAGCTACAGCCTCAGCCTTCGACTGATTGACTGTTTTGAGGCAGGGTTATTCAGTCTAGCCTTGAACTTGTGCCTCTTGCCTCAGCTCTCAAGGAGCTGGGATTATAGGTGTGAACCACTGGATCTGGTTATAGCTTCCTTGTTAACAATTGGTCTGAACTTAAAAGTTCTGGGTCAAAGTAAAGTCAATCTTAAGATATTTTCTAGAGATTGTTTCTCTTCCACAATTAACTAAAACTTGGGCTTGTAAAAATCCAGGGAAGCTGCTGTTTCATAGAGGGGCTCGTGGCCTATGAGTGTGTATGCACGTGTTTACGTGTGTGTGTGTGTGTGTGTGTTCATTCACACATGAGCACAGAGTGCTACCACAGCTATATTATGCTCATCTTCTGATGTTTATTTGAAATGCAGCTTTTTATTCCTCCATATGAAAGCTTTTAGCAGCAACGATTAAAGATGCCTGTTGGAAAGTCCACAGAGCCTGGGCCTTAGTGAATCATTTAAATCCAGTGTCATGGATCCTGAGCCTCCTTACTTTTTTCCCTTAGGAAAAGCAGTGGAAATTTACAGGCACTAAAGGACCCTATCAAATGCACTGGACCGATCAAAAGAACTGGGAGTATGGTGTGGCACAACCCAAATTTACACAGTAAATGGAAGGTTTTTCTTGGAATTTCAAGAACAGAAGGTACAGAAAGACACGATAGTCTTTCAGTCGTGCTTTAATGAAGCAAGACTTTTGGCTAAATGGGACACTTGGCAAAAGGTGCTCAGGATTTGCTTTGGCAGGTGTCTCCAAAGGCAGGGAGACATGACTCATGACACTTGCAATAAGTCGACACTACTGCCATCATCGTTGGAAAGCAATTCGTGGGCAGAGATTTAGTCTGTTTATAAAATTGACATGAACAGCAGCTCCAGCCTCAGGAGGCTTCATAGGGCTAGATAAAGAGGAGGATTACTGAAGCTAAAGCTTTTGTTTAAAGAAAGATTACAAAGCATTTAGTTCAGATCAAGTCAGCTTGAAGCTTAGCTGCTAAAACTTGTCCCTTCTTTCCTGCTCTGTGATGAATTTTGCTCTTAAATTGAGTACTCAGATGTGAAGATGATGAGGCTTCATTTGAAATGACTACAAATGGGCTGTGGGTCTCTCCCTTCTGTTATGTGAATTCAGTAAACATGAAGATTAGTAGAGATTCTAATCAATTTTTAACATTAATTTTCCTAGTAACAAGGGCAAGTGTGCTTTCTAAATACTTGAATATGGAAAAGAAATGATACAGAAAGACAGTAGATGCAACAACTTTAATTCCCTCACAGGTTTTCATAAAGTTATAGTTTCTGAATTGGAAACTGTCCAAAGTAAAGACTGCCCACAATGGAGAAGTAAAAAATGTAGGCTTAAAACACTCAATCTGTCCCTTTAAGATTGAATTGAATTGACTGCATGGCTGATCCAGTAACTGAAAAAAAACTACACATTCAGCAGGTGATTTTAAAAAACAAATTGACCAAAACACAGCCAATTTGTCAACTATTTGTAGACTTGGCCTTTGCTCAGCTGAGGACCCTTCCTGATCTTCACTGTGTCAGGGAGGTGTTATGCCTCAGGGAATCTTTCTTTCTCTTTGGGAGTTAAAATCTGAAGAAAATGACAGAACTGTAAACTAATTATATACAAAGTTAGATCTGTGGCTGATCAATTTATTTGTTAATACAATCACATAATGTATGGTGTACTTGCTAGATTCCAGGCTCTAGCTAGAGCCCTGGAAATCCAGTGGAAAACACGATGGAAATCTGCACGAGGGGAATAGGTGTGTACTTCAGTAGCAGAGCACTTGGAGAGCAAACATGAGGCCCTTGCTTCAGTAGCCAGCACCCTCTTTCCAAATAAATAGTCTGCATTTAAGTTACTGTCAGAGGGATGGAAACAAGAATATATAAGAATTTACTTTCAAATTGTAGTTTCACCAGGAAATTCAAGGGGATGTGAAACACAAATGGAAAGGCAATTTTAGAAGAGATACTAGGGGAAGCTTTTTTGAGGAAGTAAAAATTGAACAGAGATCTGAAGATGGGAGTTCGTAAAGAAGTTTGGATTTGAATATGCTTTAAATATGTGTGGACTGTTAGTATTGACCCCACAACTAAGTGAGGGATCACATTGGAGTCAGGGAGTGGTCTAGTTGGGGAATATAAATTGGAATATCATCACCATGTAGATATTATATAGAGTTGTGGAATTGGTAAGAGAAGTGGATCAAGAATAGAGCCAAAAACCAAGAATGGGAATGAAACAATATTCAGGACAAAGCAGAGAAAAATTAAACTGAACAAGAACCAAGACATTTCACAGAGTACAACATGATAATAAAGTTTCAAAGCTTGCTGGTTTATTGAGTAATACAAGGATATCAAATCAATTGATGAATGTAGCATAGTAAAGTGATAATAACATTAATAAAGAGTGATTGATGAGGAGAAAAATCTCCTTATAGAGTTAAAAAGAAAATAGAAAGTGAGGAAGTGGAGACTAAATTTAGATAACACATTCAATAAATGTTTTTTCTAAAAGCAGAAGAAAATCTGATCATAGAAGGGGACAAGGAGCCAGGAGTATTTGTCTATTTGTTTGTTTCTTTCTTTTTTGTGTTTGTTTTTGCAACATGCTTATATAGATTATTAGCTGGGGTAGGGTAGGGTGTGCTGAAGTAACAAACTACCCCCTGAACCTTGGAAGACCACAAAAATATTTATTTCTCATTCATGCTGCATGTTCAAGGTGAGTCATTTAGAGACTTGTTCCTCATAATTTGTGTTTCAGTCTTATTGAGGCACCCTGAATTACATCTGCACCAGCTTAAATATTCAGCCTCCTCAATTTCTGCAGCAGAAGAGAAAGACTAGAAAAGAATGAAATGAATTTTAACTCTCAGAGCTAATGTATTTCTAGCTGGTCAGAACATATGACCTGCCTGAGTAAAAGGGCATGAGAAGCATAGAATAGCAAAGGAAATCTTTAGGGAACATCATTGCCTCTGTTATATAGCCCATAGGAGGAGTAAATTTCATTTAAGAAGCAGATTATTGAACAAGCCAATATACTTCTGGAGAAACTGGTTTTAACAGCCCTCTCTGAGTAAGGATGTTTAATCCATTGTATCAGGAGAGAAAGTTGAGTATATGGATATTAATTCATGTTGGTATTGGAAGATTTGATTATAGAGATGAGAACATTCTCTTATGGGGTCCAGTATTTTGGGGGTGCAAATAAAAATCAAGAACATTGATTAAAAAGGATTCAGATGTGTTATGTACATGTACCAATTCTCCATGGTGAATGTAAACATTATGCACTACAAACATTTACTAATACCAAAATGAAAAAGAGGAAATTATAATCTATAGGTTTAAAAAGAAACTGTGAAAAGTAGTGTTGTTTTATTTTGTTTTTGTTTTTGTTTTTGGTACCGGGGATCAAACTCGGGTCCTTGCACTTGCGAGGTAGGCCACCGAACCACTGAGCTAAATCCCCGGCCCAAAAGTAGTGTTTTTTAACAGTGGGAAATAAATTTAATGAGAGAAAATGGCAAAAGCAGCATGGCATACTAGTTACATGGCACAGAGTCTGGAGCTGCACTGTCTGGAGTGATTTACTTAGCAGCTGTATCTTTTAGTCTCCTGACCTACTAAGTTTTGAAAATAATAGCACTTATATGATATGATTGTTTTGGAGTTTAGAATAGAACTCAGCACTGTCAACTGTTATTAGAACAGCCTGACAATGAGACAACTTCAGGTTTACAATCCTAAATATGAAATGATGTAAGTTAATACAGCTGCATGTTTTTTCTCTAGCAATTGCTAGTAAGCAGATACAGAGCAGACAGATAGTTAAATCTAGCCAGGGTGAGGCTAGATGTATGTATGTTCAATACTGTATTGTCAGGAATCTTGCTCCCCAAGTCTAGTATTGTTGTACGTCTTATTCTTTTTTCTGTGCTCTATGAACAGATTTTGCAAGGTCAAACTTTTTGGAAGCCCTACAAAATATTAAGAGGGTAAGAAAGCCATTTGGATTAAATTAGTTCTCTTCCTCAAGAAAGAACCATTTATGATTTATAAAAGTGGCACATTTGGCAGCAACAAACCTACAAGTCTCTTCATGAGGAACTATCACTTAGAGCCACAGAAGTCAAGCACATTATACTCAAAGCCTCTCTCCTTGAAGTAAAAGAAATTATCTCCATACTAAATAAATTTATATTATTAGGGTAAAGCTCACTTTACTTTTCCCACAGGTGATTGCTTTTTTCTTTATTTTGGAATTCATGAGTATTTGTAACTTGATCCTTCGTGCACACCAGGGCATGCACTTCATTTTTTTCTTCCAGCTTACACACTACTTTCTTAGTCTGTAATGATCTGAAGCAATGTCATTAAGATAAAGAGGATAATTCCAATGAAATTGAATGGACAAGCCAAATTCTCCACCTTTCCTACACTGGGATCTGTAAGGTGCCCTCAATCTGTTACTATGTAATAACTATAGACCAGTTTTCACCATGTTTTTTCCCCGCCTTTAGAAAAATTTACTTTAAGGGCCAGGAATTTAGCTCAGTGGTTCTCCCGCCTTCCTCACAAACCCAAGGTCCCAAGTTCAATCTCTGGTTTAAAAAAATTTTTTTACTTTATTTTTCCCCAAAATTGCATCTCCTCTTTAATAACCTAGGGTTTACAGAAATCTTTATATTTTTTATAGTAGATCTAATCCATTGTGATTCCCTTCCTTAAAAAAAATTAGATTTCTGATTGAAAAGGTAAAAAAAAAATAGCAGTCTTCACCATAGCACTTTCCAACATGCATTAAAGTCTGGTTATAAATTATTTTTTATTGAGTTTATTGGTACAATCTAGGTATACAATACAGTTACATTCATCATTGGGATTCTGTACCTTTACATAATAGGTCTTGATTCTCATTTTTTTCCCTTGTTCCTGCCCTCCCTTAACCCCCTCCTCCCCTCCCCATTTACAAACACTTTATTTTCATTTTTTCAGTTTCTCATATTTTTTTCCTCTCCCTTATTACCTTTCCCCCACCCTTCCCACTTTACCTACACCTTTAGCCCTTTACTTGCTATTTCACATTATTAATTATCTCATTAGGATCCTGTGTACTATTATAGTTTCTCACACCAAAGAAACTATTTGAAATTTCAGTTAAAGAAGTCTCAGTATGAACATTAAAAATAGGGAATCCTAAAATAAAACTAAAAAGGAAAGTAAAAGAGAAAAGGCAATGATATAACATTAAAATAATCCTTAATTCTGGAGATGAAAATGGTACCCAAACATAGTTAAATTGCTTCTTGCTCTTATAGTCTTATCTTATTCTTTTTTTCATTATTTAGAGAATACTTTATTAGTTTCTGTAATCAACCCCATGTAGATATGACCTTACATATTTAATACACTGCATGACCCCTGTACACATGGAAAAAAATAAAAAATAAAAATAAAAATAAATTAACATTTCTAGACCAATATGGTTGTCCATTTCTGTACAATGCCAACTCAACACAGTAAATTGGAATGACTTTTTCCAAAGTTGGCAGCACTGTTAAAGTTTCCCAAAATTCAATTTATATATATATATGTATATGTATTTATATATATATTTATATAAAAAGACTAATAATAGTATGTTATGCATTGATAGCAGCAACAGCTTTTCCAGGTTCTGCAGTCATCTGAACAAAATTATAGACATTCAGCACATTCCATTAAAAAAAAAACAAAACAAAAAAGAATAATATCCAGAAAACAGCAAAGTTCTGTTGCCATTGTGGTACCTGGCACAATTTTTTTTTATTAGCATCTTAATCATCATCTGGAAAGAGAACATTCTAGAGTAATATCATTAAATGTAGCTCTGATAAAGCATGGTCTCTACTATGTATCATAAAGCAGATACAAGTTATTTTACATTTATAGAGGTATGATACAGTACCGTCCTACATCAATGATACTAGAATCAGTTTTGGTTTGAAATTTACTTTGTCTGCAAATAAGATTGCTACCCCTGTTTTTTTCTGGGCTCCTGTCACATGGAGAATTGTTTTCTATCTTTTCACTTTCAGTCTATGGGCTTCTTTTTGCACTAGGTGTGTTTCTTGTATACAACATATTGTTGGATTTTGCTTCTTATTCCATTTTGCCAGTCTATTTCTCTTGATTGGTGAGTTGAGGCCATTGACATTGCTGGTTATAACTGATATGTACTGTGTTATTATTGACATGTTATTGGCCTTTTGTTGACTCTTTTTACTTTTTCACCTTCTCCTTTTAATTTCTTGCCTTGCCTATTTGATTTGCTCTGTTGGGCCTCATGGTGTTGTTGCCTTCATTGTCTTTTTCTAGGATCTTGTTTAGAATTGCTTGTAGTGCTGGTTTGGTATTCATGTAGTTTCTCAGGTGTTCTTTGTCGTGGAAGTGTCTCATTTCCCCATCCATTTTGAAAGAGAGTTTTGCTGGATGCATCAGTCTAGGTTGGAGGTTGTTCTCTTTTAATACTTGAAATATCTCATTCCAGGCTCTCCTTGCCCCAAGGGTTTGTGTTGAAAAGTCTGCTGTGATTCTGATGGGCTTTCCTTTGCATGTGATTTGTTTCTTTTCTCTTACTGCTTGTAGTATTTTGCTCTTCTGTTGGGTTTCTGGGATCTTGATTATTATATGTCTAGGTATAGATTTTTTTTGATTGTGGCTACTTGGGGTCCTATATGCCTCACTTACCTGAATGTCAAATTCTTCCCCTCTGTTTGGGAAGTTTTCTGTCATTAATTCTGTGAACAGCTTTTTTAAATCATTTGTATTTTCTCCTGCTACTTCATGTATTCCTATCAGTCTTATGTTATTCTTCTTTGCATCATGTAGGAGTTGTTGCATCGATTTCTCATGATCCCTTACTGTTTTTAAGAGACCTCTCTTTTTATGATCACTGCAATCTTATCTTCTATATCTGAGAGTCTATCTTCACATTCTTTTATTCTGTTGCGTATACTTTCAATACTGTGTTTAATCTCCTGGATATCTGCTTGAATCTGTTTTATGGATTCCATTTCTTTCCTATGTTGGGCATTTATTTTTCCATTTCTTTCTTATGTTGGGCCTTCATGGCTTCTATCATGGTCCTGAGCTCATCTATTTGTTTGTCAGTTTCTGCTCTAGAGTCTCGAATCACGATTGCCATTTTGCTCACTATCACTATGGTTATCTGGGAAATTATTTCTGTTTTGAATTTTTCTAGAGCCTGATTGATCTGTTTTGTTACTTCCTGTGCTTTGAGTTCAGGGTGTCCTGGTGATTCACTATCAGCCTTTTCATCCTAGTTTTCCCTACTGTTTGCCATTGGTAAACTGGAAGTCTGTCCTTGTGTCTTGCTTAAGTGTTTTCTCATTTTTATTTTTGTTGTCAGACTGTCCTTGGTTTAATCTCTGGATTATCACCCAAATCTTCCTGATTTAGTTGCACCTAGCTTCTCTGTCTCTAATGACCCACAGACATTCTCATCTTCATAACATCAGAGAAACAGCTCATCAAATCAACCGCAATGCTTTATCCCAACTGTTACAATCAGCAACACATTAAGATCAAGCACAACTTTGACACTGACCACCGGTGGTAGTCACTAGTCTATCAACCTTAAATCATTTGAATTAAATTGAAATCAAGAAGCAGTCCAGTACATGTCTGCAGTGAACAAAATTTTGATATAGTATATTTACCATTTAATGGCTCAGACAGAGCAAGGATGCAAGACCCCTGATCTCAGTTAGCTGATGGCTGAACCCCATGACACTGACTGACCTCGGGGTGCAAGGCCCAGATTGAGTTCCCCAACCTTCTGAATGGTGGAACTCCACAACGTTCTGTTACATGTTTCCCACACCCTTTCTTTAAAGATGTTCAAAGTTGGGAACTCAGCAAAATTCCCTTGATGACCACCTTTGCCTCTGCAGAGTGGGTCCAAAGACTGGCACAATCAGGCTGTCTAAGAGTCCAGGGGGGGCTTGTAGGGGTTCAGGGGCGCCCACGCAGCTACCTTCCTGGCACTGGAGAGATGGCGGCTGGGATGGGAGCAGGTGCGGTTCTCCTTCCCTCAGTGGATCGGGGCCCAGGCTACCTCCAGGCGCTTGAGCAATGGTGGCTTGGTTGGGAGCAGGCGTGGTTCTCCTCTAGTTATAAATTAAATGTAAATAAGACTGTAGAAAAAGAAAAAGATGAAAACTCAAGATAAAGAAACTAAAATTGCAAAATAGCCTGATGCCAAAACCAAGGATAAATTGTAATATCTATATTGCTAATGGAGCAAGATGTTCTATAACCGCATTTTTATATTTCCAAACACAGGCTTCTATGACCTGGACAACTAAAGGCACCAGTTATTCTTCTGTTCCATCAAGTCCCTGCTGCTTATTTTATTTGATCTATGGAATTGTGAGTAAGCTGGTTTTTTTCTGCCAATTTTTAATTCTCTGTCCTTTATTTTTTAAATATAAATAGGATTAAAAGTGAATATATAAAGCATCTATTGTATTTCCAAATATTTTTACTACTTTCATATATTACTTTATAATTAGAGAGTGGAAGATACTGTTTTAAAACATAATACTTTAGAGGACTTAGAGGATTCATTGGTCATATTATATCTTTTTTAAGTCAAATCTGTGAAAAAGTGTTTTATTTCTTACTTAATATGTTTTCTCACAAATTGAAAAAGGGTATCTTTTTATGTGAAGCAGGAAAGAAATTAATCTAAAAATTAATTTTATTTGAAGCAGAGTAACCAAATGATTGTTTGGATTCTTACCCAAAGTAGAATGTATGCTTAGAATCTGCTTTAAAATATAATCTGAGAAATATGAAGAACTCAAAAGGGGGTAGAAAGCCAACAAAGAGCTAGAGAGTCTAGAGGCTATAGCAAAGGGTACTTTTCAAGATAATAATATCTGTAATGTGGAAATAATTACTGAGACAATCTATGTCCTTAGATTAAGGAGGTGCTGTGGCATATGTGAAAATATAGATATTCTTAAAGACACTTATAGCTAGAGTATTGTGAAAGAACTTTGAAACTGCTGATTTGGAAGTACTTGTGTTATACATTCTTATCGTTGATTTTATTAAAGCATGGTTTATACACATTGAAATGTATAAATATTAAATGTCAAATTTTATCAATTTTGACAAATACAGTGGCCACTGTCCTGATTAAGACAGAAAACATTGTAATCATCCTGCAAGTTGGAAAGCCTTCTTCACAGACTCTTTGGTTTCTTTCCTGTTTTGGGCTTCTATGAATTTAGAATATGCTGTGACTATTCTTTTTATTGATTATGTACTTTGTTAGTACATGTTTACAGTATATAATGATTACATTTATTGTGGGGAGTTTTTAAATTTTTGCAACACATCTTAATTCGTTTTTGTTCCCTTCCATTCTCATACCCCCCTGTTCCCTCCAACTCTTGATCCTTGCCATTTGATAAAGCTCTTATTTCCACTATTCCTTCAACTTCTCTCTTTTAATTCTTTTTCCTTTTCTCCCCTTCCCCTCCATCTCTTGTTCCCTTTACCATTTGAAAAAGATCTTCCTACTTTCTATAATCTTTTATTTTACTATTTGCTGTTTATACACAATGGAGTACTACTCTACAATAAAGAAGGATAAACTTGAGGCATTTGTGGGTAAATGAATTTAGATCATAATGTTAAGTGAAATAGTTCATACATACAATTTTAAATATAGCATTGTTTCTGTTATGTGAAAAACTCAAAACATAAATAAATTGTACATTATTGTGAATATAAACACACATCTACTGGGCATATGACTCAGAGTAGTATTGGTATATCACAAGATATGGGTATGTTGATATTTAGTACATATTTGGTGATTTTTTTTAATGTAGCTAGACCAATCTACACTTTCACAGCTTTTCCTTATACTTTCCAATACTTAGTATTGTTCATATTTGTAACTTTATGCAAATTAAAACCACAGCAAGCTCCTAGAACATCGGCAAATAATGAGAACTAACTGTGGTTTTAATTTTCCTGGTGACTGAGATGGGTTTTTTTCCTCTCTATTATTGGATATTTTGCTATCCTCTGTTATTTAAGCCTACTTATCAAATTTCATTTACATGTCTATGTTTTGTGTATCCTCATTGCCCCGCAATCTGTGCATCCCTGAAAGGTAAGGGATGCTTTTAATAGTAATTTCTATTCCCAATGTTTACCACTCTGCTCTACTGCATTGAGAATTTGAAAAACACCAGTCTCAATGAAAGAAGTGAAATTATAAAACAGCGCCCCCTGTCTGTCAGGTGAATTTTACATTATCTCAGTTAACCCCAATTCTAACCCTATTTGCAGAGCTAGGAAGTGGCTTACATTGCTATAGTTTCAAACAGAATTTTTGGATTCAAAAACTATTCTTACTCCACCGAACCTATCATAATGGCTTTCATTAGAAAAAAATTATTTGAGTATAAATAAGTATAAATAAGGATCAAAATGTATAATTGATATTGTGTAACAGGAAAAAAGGTCTCAAGTTGTAGGGAAAGTGGGAGGGGTAAGGAAAGTTAAGAAGGGAAAAGAAAAAATAAGAAAAGAAGGAAAAAATGTAAGTAATGTCTTTGTAAATAGGGAAGGGTGGAGGGGTTGAGGGGAGGCCAGGGAAATGGGGAAAAAGTAAGAACCAAGATACGTCATGTAAAGGTACAAGATCCCAATGATGAGTGTAACTGTACTGTCTACCTAAACAGTGCCAGTAAAGAAGAAAAAAAAGAGAAAACATTCTTTGACTCCATTCATTCTACACCCATTTATAGTCTGTAATGGCAGATGATGTGTTGCTTCTCACTGGCCATGTTTCTTTTCTGTTCTCTGGACTTACAGCTAAACTACATTTCCCAGGACATAGGAAGTCAGTCAGGTTGCATCTCTGACCAAGCCATGGCAGAGGAATGTGATTTTGTTTTGTTCATGCCTCCTCCTGTTTTCTCCCATAAAAACTTCCCACATGGAAACCTCCACTTAACTGTTCCTGTGGAACACTAGGAGTCCATGTGTTGAAGATGGAGTTTTAATTTGTTATGAGGATACTAGGTTGTATTATTCCTTGAATTACTATGTGGAACAGAAAATTTGAGCCCATCTCCTCCTCCTACCATCACACTGGCCTCTCACCATTGCACATTAAGCTTTTATCATGGTAGGCCACAGAGATTTCAGAGTTTATCACAGCAGTCTAGCCTAATATAATCTCTCTTTAGGTGTCAGGTATTCAGAGATAAACAGCCATTAAACTCAGGAAATTTCAGTTTGATAAAAAAAATCCTAACAATATTACAAGTGTTACAATAAAGGTACAAACCAAATTCTATGGCAAATGATAAAGGCAGAGCAAAGCTACTATGTAAACTTATGGAATATTTCACTAAGGTGATAATATTTTTATGTTGCCCTGAAAGAATTTGATGAAAGCAATAGGCATTTCAAGTTATAGAAATACTGTGTTTCCTGAAATAAAAGACCTAGCTGGAAAATAATTAGCCTTGAAAACTAGAACTCAAATATCCCAGTCCCAATCAGCCTATCCTTACTGTGCGTGCCTTACAGAGTAGCCACCAAGCAAGAGAAAAGTGATGGCTGGCATTTTTGATCAAGGCACGTGGGTAGTATGAGAAAATACATGGAAAGCTTAAAAAGCACGGTGTACTTCCTAGAGATGTATGAAGATCTATGTACGTGAAGTACAACTCTCATAAAGAGCATTAGGTAATACTACAGAGAGCTAAGTTCAGTAGAGATTGATAGGCAGTTAGAAAAGGACCACACCCAAACAGAATGAGAACAGAGGTTGAGTACTGAGTTGCGAGAAATGGGTCCGTGAGGTAGAGACACAATGATTAGTCCTGGGAGCCTCCTTGGAGATGAACAGCAGCTCAAAGCTGTACTGGTCTGTACTTGCTGCATTATCTGGTCCAGCAAGCCTGAACAATATCACATGCACATAGAAACAATGTAACAAACAGGTAGTTAGATGACCCTCACTCCTAAACCTTCCAGAAATTCTTTTGTTCTTCTGTGCAGCCTTGCTATGTATCTTGTTTTTCTATTACAGAAATATTAGCTAAGTGACTGTACTTGTTATCCTATAGGTTGATTATAAAAGCCCCTAGACGAAGATCCTCAACAGCAGCTCACTTTTGGGATCCCCTCCTGCCTCTCAGGAAATTTCTCTTAATAAAACACCTACTCTTCACCTTCTCTGTCCTCGAGTCAATTCTCTGGTGTTGAGAGACACAAACTCGGCACATTTAACAGGTTGGGAGTTACTCCCCTGTAACAGTAAGAGGAAAGTCCAATAAAATAGGCTGGTGGCTGAAATTGAAAATGTCATGAAAAGGAATTAGAACTTGTTCCTATGATCTGTGCAGAGCCATCTCTCATGAATTGTAGGAACAAGAAGCTAGGAAATCATTCGAAGGTGTTGCAATTATCCAGGTGAAAGAAAGAATGAGAATCAAAGCTAAGACACTGTAAATAGGAATCAAGAGGAGGTAAATTCTTAAAATTAATACTGCTGTGGAGGCAAAAAGAATGATATTCTGACTTTTCCTTTTGTTGAATGTCACCCACTACTAGAAAAGTACTGTATAAATCAACTTTGAATGAATCTTTCTTGTGTGCAAGTTTCATTCCAGATACATGTTACTTTTTAAAATATCAATTGTTGATTTATTTCTCTAATTTTTAGAACTTCTAAAGCACATATCCTCTTAAAATATTCTCATCAATAACATCATATCAGTAAAAAACCAAGTTATGGTTCTGCAGTCTTTATTTTTTTACATGCCCTTCCTCAATTTACCATTTTTTGTTTCCTGTTTTAGACTAAAGGCAAGCAATTTAATTCTAAAAACAATTTGTGAGCCTTGTTGACACAGTTAATTTTATATAAACCTGGGTGCTTTGTCTCCCAAAAGAATAAATCTGAGGGCAAAAGAAAAACATACAAGAAATAACACTTATATCTTGCTGGATATCCCCCAAAAGGGAAAAGTCCTGGATATTTTCTTTGTGTCAGCCTTATATAGCTAGGCAGAAGTGCATGTGTGTGTGTGTGTGTGTGTGTGTGTGTGTGCGTGTGTGTGCATGTTTGTGTGTGTTGGGTGGTGCTTCAGAGGAGATAAATTCAAAAGAGTTCTAATAGAAACTGGTTTTCTGGCATTTCTAATGTTTTCTCTGAGTCTACTTGAAGTCGTGGTCTAGAGGTAGAGAGGAACTATCATAGCAGATACTGGATTACAGTCTTATGCCTTGGAGGAAAGAGTCCTTATCGTTTTCTTTTCATCCCAACATGTTACCCTTTGTTCTTGTGTTTATCTTTGCATCTCTAAGCTTGGTCTGGCTGTTTGAATTAT